CTAACGAGTCTCTCTCTCTCTCTCTCTCTCTCTCTCTCTCTTACATCTCCAAATCTTCAACCCCTTCTCTTTCAACAAAGTTTCCAACTATCAAGGCGTGGCAGAGGAGAGCAGCAATTGAACGTGGAAATGCGATAAAAGGGGAGGGAGGAGGGGAACAAAGCCTCCTCGTTTTCAAAGGGATAGGAAGAGGCGCGAGAGAAGCATCCATCCCCCGACGTTATCAATCCCCCCAGAGTCAGAGAGACGTGTTCGAAGGCATGTCGATTACAACCGAGTAGTTTACTATTACGCGTGTATAAACCTACTACGTGGAATAGCGTCGTCGCATCCGCGAGTATATAATTCTGAAAAAGCGTTTTACTTAACAACGAAAATACTCGTGTACTTATTACACACCGCTAACAAGTTTTTTTTTTTTTTTCTTTTTTCAACCTATTTTACTCACTTTAGGCCTTAACAAACGTACCCCCAACCCCCTTTTTTTTTCTTCTTTCGTTTTTACGGCCACGATCAGCGTTTTCACAGGATCGAAGCTAGTAAATTCATCCTAGATCGAGGAATCTCGATAAAATGACTTTTTTTTTTTTTTTCCCTTCGTCGATCGAAAGACAGAGTTTTTTTTCCCCCCCGGATTTTTATTACTCCTAGTCTTCGCCCTTAGAGATACGAAAAAATGGTTTAGAAAAATGGCAAACGACATCGATGATGATATGAGAAAATGTGCGCGATAAAACGATGTGAACGCCTGGCAGGACACTGCGACGAATTTATAATTTTAACGCTCGAGGAACATGAATATTGACTAATTTGCTAATATCGTTTTATTTATTTATTTATTTTTCTTTTTTTCGGCGATATTTCGTTGGTCAAGGTAGATACACTATCGGCTGGAAATTTGGTGTTTTTCGATCCTTTTAGTCAATATATATTTATTGTTTTTTTCTAACAATAATAATAATTCGAGAGATTCTTGTATTAAGAAAAATTGTTTATAACGATTTGATATACGCATTTACGTATTGCATAGATTCGTGTTGAAAGTTTTCAATTTGTAGAGAAGTAAAGACGAAAGTAGGAAATTTAGTGGGATTCCTCCAAATGATTCCTTCCTTCTCTTCGTGATCGTTATGACTCGTCACAAGTCGTCGAATACTTCATGATGTTCGCACTTCAAAAATGTTCGAAACTTTTTTCGAATCTCGAAGTTCTTAACTCTCTTATTACTTTACATATTACCCGGTCAAATTAATCTACCAGCAGATAGTGCAAGTACCTATTTTATTTTTGAACGTTGATGGAACGATTCAAAAGATTTTAAGAATCGCTACACTCTATAAAATATCGGGGAATTTCATCCCCTTTCGTTCCTTTCATTATCAATTAGTCGGAATCTAAGGAATCTAATTAGAAATTTTGTCGTCGCGGTGCCTCGACGAGGTGATACCAGTGAAACAGAGTTTCACCTTTGCTTATCCGTGCTTATCCACGTGGAAAATCTGGCGTACGAAAATTGGGATTTTTTTACTAAAAAATTGGGGATCGATCATCGACAACGAGTCACGAATAATGAATAGCTCTCACGATGATATGTGCGAAGAGTGATCGATATAAGAAGATTGATATCACGTTATTCACTATGACTACATCTAACAAAAATTCTTCGTGTTCGCTTTTTTCGCAGTTTGACGTCTAAAATTTAAATCATCTTTCCATCTTCGTAATTTTATCTTACACTTAATGCAATGATATTGTTACGTGTTTAATTTGATAACATTCCTAATTTTTGCACGAGAAAAATTGAAATGGGTACAGTCCACACCACTGAATATTATATCCAGTCAAACCACTCTTATTTTCCTTATTTCTTTTCTTAAACCGGCATCCATACCCATATCGATTATCAGCAATTTAAACACAGCCACAGTCAAAATTGAAATGGCGAACAAAACTCGTAATTTCCGATATGCAATAATTTCTTCTCGTATCTCAGTTTAGAGGGATCGAACTTAAACTTCTCCTTCTTTTTGGAAAATTAGTTATAGCATCGCGATGATAATCCGCGTCAACACCTGCGTGACCAACCTTTGGAAGGTCGAGATATTTTTAACCGTTTTTTAACCTTGTTCTCCTACTCGATTATCCGATAGGAAACACGTTAACGTTTCAAATTCAAGTTTGCCGAAACTTTTAAGCCAGAGAGTTACCATGCCAGAAATACTCGCGAAGATTTCTAGAAGGAATTAAGCCACCCCTGGCTAATTTTCCAGTTAATTCCTCTTCTGAAAATAAAGTAACAAATAGCCACCAGTTTTAAACAACGAGCAGTTGTGTTGGAAAGTTAACAAAATTTACACGCCGAGTCCCTTTGATTCTTCTTCGATGGCTTTGCATTTCTCATCCAAATAAATGAATTTCAAATGTATGATTTACGACAGGATTAATCGCGTATAAACAGTCTACGAAATTCGATTAAATAATTAATTGAGCAACAGGTCGCTGTTGTGTACGACACGCGATCCTGCCAACACGAAGAATATTTCCTCGCGAGATTTATATTTCTGTTCACGTTCGCGACATTTTTAGGGGATTTATCAGTGACCATGATCAAGTTTCATCGAAACTATAAGGCAGAAAATAGAAATAGATTTAAAAAATACGTTCTTTTTACACGTAAATGACTTATTTTAACCTAATCTCTTTCGATAAAACAATGGTTCCCAGTATTCATACATTTTACAAAGCTTTTTCTCCAAATGTTGATACCCTTGGATCAAACGCGATCCCGAAAATTTGCAATTACTTGACAAAGCTAGGGAGAAACGGTGGTCTCCCTTAATATTTGGAATGACATAACCTTAACTCAATCCCTTTCACTGAAACACACGATTCCAAATCGTAGTGGTAAATTTTTCTTTTCGAAACATTCCTTCTCTTTCTCTTCACATTGAAAACCTTGATCGAAGATTGATCAAACGTGATTGAAAATCGCAATTACTTAACGAAGCTACGCGCAAAAAAAGAAACGCGCAAGAGAAAATGGCGGTCTCCAGTAATCTTTAGGATGGAAAATTGTGGATTTTTCCAGGTGAATAGTTGGATATACAAGTTCACGTTCGTTTAACGAAGGAACTGGACTGGGTCACGAAGGTCTGAATAGATGGGAAGGCTCGATCAAGACGCAGGAATTCGACCTATATTCTTTGCCACGGTTTGTCCTTCGAACGGTCGAGGAAGAAAGAAAAATTTTTATCCTCGTTACCTTGAATCGGGGGAAAAATTACGGGATGGAGAGTGGTTGAATCGGAATCTTTGAACTGGAATCTGGACGGATTGAAGAATAATTTTCTTTCTTTCACATTCTAGCCGCTTGTGTTTCTGTCCTTTTATGCCAGAAATGAAATAAATCGAATTGCTTGCGAATATTATTTGCATCGATGAATTTTGTATAAAGTCTTATAATTATTGTATCCAATCCACTCTTTAAAATCACGTGTAATAAAAAATGATTAATTTTTATTTACACGAAAGTAATGTAAGACTCGAGCAGTAAATAATAATAATAATAATAATAATAATAAATACACTAAAAATTTGTGGGATATGAATACTATAATTTGTATAATTAGGTAATACAATTATCTTTTGAATAATTGCAAATTGGGAACCACTGATATCGAAATGAACCGAGCAAGTAAATGTACTGTTACCAGCGTCACGTAATCGTTTTATTTGGCAGAAACTTCTTACGAAAAAAAGAACTCGTTATTGTGAAACGAGAGAAAAAGATGTACGATGTGGCAGTGGATTTACTAAAACTTGTTTCTTTCTTGTTAAATTTTGTCTATCTTAAAAAACAATTTGATATTTTTATACGATATGTTTAAAATTTTATCATAATAAGAAGGGTGTGCTTCGCAATTTTATTTAAATATCAACTACAATGTAATAGAATAAAAAAATAAATCTTTCAAGATTATAACAAAAAGTTATTAATTACACCAAGTGAATTTCAAACGGAATAAAATTGAAAATATCGAAAGAGTAAAGCGTCTTGATTAAATTATATAAAACCAAATTATCAAATTACGATTAAAAATTCTTATCCTATAGTTTACAGAGATTGTAGATATCTACAAATAGTTTATCAATATACTGCTGTTATATAACTATAATTAATTCAAGCGTTGTGTAAACTTGTAACTACGATAACTTATCAATAGTAAACATATCAATAGAATTGTCCTCGTGTTGCGAAGTGAACAACAAACGGGGAATATATATATATATATATTTATAGTTTAAGCTGTGAAACTGCGAAAATTGCGAACAATCCGAATGCTCGATATGCATACGAATGATAGAATCGATTCGTGATTCGATGTGGAAATGGATATGGAAATTGAGTGATATGGTGGTTGAGGTAGAGATATGAAGGATGGATTAATTGTAATTGGCCGGGATAGAAAGAAAATTTGTGGTGGTTTGAGTGTTAAAGGATGACAAGCGAGGAAAGAAAAGTTATGTGCAGCGGTGAATAAAAGTTGTAGAATAAGTAATGGATGAAGAAAACAAAAAAATTGCAGGAAAAGGGAGAATAGAGAGAATAAACAAAAAAATCAAGGGAGGAATATAAAAATATACGAATAATAAATCAAAGGCGGAAAGTTGAAAATAAGAAAAATGAAAACTACGTAATTTCGTAAAAGAAGAATTATAAAAGAGCACGGTAGAGGTATATTAAGAAAGAATCGTAAAAACTTTCTAATAAGAAAGATAATAAAAAACCGATAAAATAAAATACGAATCTATCTAAAAACAAAATAGAGAAAACAAGATGACTAAAAAAACAAGAAACAAAAATCAAAAATTCAACAGAGAAAAAATAGTCAACGCCAGTAAACAAAATCAAACCAAAAGAAAAACCATATCTATAGCCTCAAAAAAGAGGACACCCAAAAAATTTACAATAATATTTTCAGTGAACGAAAAACAAAATTTAAAACTGGAAGAAAACTCCATAAAAGAGAGTTAAAAAAAAAACAAAAAAAAAAAAAGAAAAAGAAAAAAGAACAACCACTGTCGGGAAAAACAGTTAAACAAACATAATCCGCTCAATGCAAAGACAAATTCAACACGAGCGGAATCGCAAACTGCCTCTACGTCGAGCAAACAGTGTTAAACACTCATGAAAGATTCACGCAAAAGGAGGGTGAACGTACCACGGATAAGCAAAAGAACCCTTGTGCGCGTATTTCGCGTATTCGATCTCGAGATGGGCAAAATTTCAACGATTCGAATCAGGAATAAAGTTACTTCTTATATATAATTTATCGCGCAAAGCGTCGAATAATCCCGCTCAAGTTAACCATCGAGATTATACGAAGAGTGATCTATGCTACGCTATACTATACTATATCAGTAAAAATGCTGTTTCGAGGGTTGTAAATAAAATCATTGTACGTAAGTAACCTTATTCGAAATTTTAATTTTGCCCAACGAACGATACGCGTGTAGAGTATGCGTGCGGATCGCGATATGTCGAGTTGTACGCGTGCAACGATTCAGCAGCATAGGTGGCGCTAATTGTGCCAGTGGAGCAGCCCAGTTATAGATCCCACGTGTAGCCATCCCACCGGCTCACGGTGCGGTTTATCCCCGAGCGGAGCGAATAAAACGGCCGGTTTAACCGGCCGTTAAATTCACGGCGATAAGCCGTTTTATGCAGCCGACAAGATAGCCATTCGCGCGCGCTGAACGATCGTGCACGCCGTGCACCGCGCTTAATGACACCGAACGCACCTCAAATTTCAGTCGTACACAATATTTTCTACGCGTCGTGGCTGCCGTTGACCCGATGATTGCGTTTTCATGAAAACTCGCACCACTCGATTTTCGAGCGCGTTAAAAGGTAACGAGGCGCGGAATCACGTTCAATGATCATCGACTTTAACCTTTTTTAATTAAATGGACTAAGTGTATCGTGATTATTTGGAAGCGAGTTGCAGTAGATGCAGTAATATTTTTTTATTGTGAGAATCGAGAATTAGGTTCAATGATCATCGATTTTAGGTGGATTAAGTGTATTTGCCGTGGTTATCGTTATTCGAAGGAAAGTTTCTTTGGATTATGATTATTTGATTAGTGATATGATGCGATATTTTTTTTTCTTTTTCTTTTCTTTTTTTTTTTTTTCTTTTTTTTTTTACGTAGAATCCGAGCGAAATTTTCGGAGTGGAAATGCATTAACAGCGATGAGAGTTGTATGTATGAAGTTTAGTAATGTGAATTAGAGTGTAACGGTGTCGTTGTTACTCGAGCGAGGTTTCTTTGGAAGATGATTATCTATTGGTGAGATATTGCTGACAGAATTTGTAAGTTTGTATTTATGGTTGTGAGATAAGGGTATATTGTTTAAATTGGTCTTACAGATTCAGATATCGGAGAATTTCGACTACAATTCTTGGTTGGATCTTTGAAATTTATCGTTGGACGATTAATATCTCGTGTAACTTCTTAATATCTTGCATACTTTACCATAGTATCATAGTTAGTTCTCTAGAAATATATTTATACGAATACGGACGATTAGAAATAAAATTGTTCCTTGTTAATACGATTGTTAGAATTCGATTCAAAAATTATACTGGTTAATATTTAGACATGGTTAAGAAACTTTCCTAGCACCCTGTATTATATTATCGTGTATAACAATATATTTCACTTGGTTTTAGTTGGTTTCAATCCCAACGACGATAGATTAAGGATTTTCGTATCTTTATTCGTTTTTAGAAGAAATCTATAAAATACTGTGTACTACTAAAATTTCATGTTCATCGTTTTCGTCTTTTGTTTACGTATGTGTGCTTGGTTATATAGTTTGTTATATCTTACTTCTATACAAGCTTAATTCTACCCAATTCTTTTCTCGATAATTTTAGAATTCGATTAATTGCTGAATTGCTCAAACCTACAAACACGATTTATCTATATATAAAAAAAAAAAAAAAAAAGTTGCTAAACAAGTGGAGCCTGTTAATAGTTGGTGTAAGATGTAGAATGTTGGTCGAAACTTCTGCCGTGTTAATTATAATACTTAATTCCTTATGAAAATGTACGATTATAGATTATAGTCAGCCAAGTTGGAAAATAATTTTCTCATGCTTTTCCTTTATAGTGATCAGACATCTGTTTTGAATAATTTCTTTTCTTTTTTACGTAAAAGTTATTTAAAAACAATCTTTGTAAAAAAAAAAAAAAATAATCGTTTCCATTGAATTTTCGTGGTTAGAAAGAGTTTTAATTTTAAGTATATTTTTTTAACCGATTAATTATTAATCTATCTCACAATGCTCAATGCTTTCGGTGTAAAGACGTCTATAAATTGCTAGCATCATTATATATAAAAACGATTTTCGCTCAAAAATGTGTCGCAATAAAAAGATTTAAAGATCGTCGAAAAACGTTCCTGAGTTTATCGTAGAAAAATTTCCGCAGTAAAATCGCGCGATGAATCGCAGAATAAATCTTCGATACCGGCTAAACGCGCTATTACAAAATTGAAAATCCATGCGTACGTAAGGTGAAGGATGAATCGCATCCCATTTACGATAAAAGTGGATATACAAGGGATATACAGGATGGTACAAACACCGAGTGGATCATTTACAAATACGCGCGTAGAAAAATTCCATTTTCGAAACTTTTTTCTACAAAATACCTTCGTCATACGTTCGTAAAAATTACACTCGTAGAAAAAGCTATCTCTTTCTCGTGAAATATACCGAGTTTGCATTTTTCAAGCTGAGATGCTCTCTCCAGCTAACACATCTACCGAATATTCCAGATTTTTTTTATCCTTTGTGTGCTTCTGGATGTAAATCGTGTATTCTTAATTTTTAAAAAAAAAAAAAAAAACGTTAACCAATATTTTTTGTTTGATACATTATACACGTTTCATGATGTACTAAAAACTTACATTATGCCAAATTTTATGCATAAATTACATTACATTTTATCAAAATGCTGTAGAATTATTATCTGCAATTTATTCTAATGAATTCTATGAATGAATCTAATGAATGCAAATCACTATTAGTTATCGTGTTTCACACGAAGAAGAATTTTTATATGTAGTAGGAATTTTGATTTTGAATTTACACTCGAGTAAAGCGTACGTATAATGGTGAAGCCAGCTTTGTGAAGAATTGGAGAACGAAATGATATTTCCTAGCACGAGAAACGAATATTCTATATTCTCGTATGTTGCAGTAATCAAATCTTTGATTCGATTGAATAATGATGCTAAAGAAATGTTCAAACAGATTTGAAAAGGATGCACAGCAACGCTATGATGATATCTATTCGCACGTTCCATAGCACGCAATATGACTTATTGCATTACACTAGGATCACTAGATACGATTGCTTCTAATGGAAACGAGAATTAATTTTTTGTACCGTTGATAAACGGAAAAAACTGGATGTAGAGAGTGAAATTATTCTAAAAATTATGGCACATAAATTTTACAATTCAAAAGTTTTTAACTTATTATTCGTTTAAAAAATAAAATGAAGGAAGAAGAGACAAATTTCGATAACTTAAACGCAATTTTCTAGCAATCTGGAGGAAAAAGATGGACGATTTCTCGCGTCACCTCATAAAATATCAAACTTTAATACAACAGCGCAAGACGATTCGAGATAATGGAAATCCCCGAGTTTATATATTTCCGGCTGCACGATGTAGATCGCGTAGCGGCGCAATAATTTCACTCGTCGCGGATTGCATAGAAACACGTGGTGCGTCGTGATAAATGGCCAAAGTTAAATGCACTCCTTTCCAACAGCCACGTGTGCAAATATTAAAGAGAATTGCCAAGAGAAACTTTGAACGTACGAGTCACGATCATTTTTCTATTAGCGAGTTTCGTTAATTGGAGAAATTGAAATTGGAGACTGGAATATTCACAACGCGCATGCGCGTTTTCCTAGATGGCGCTCATGAGTTATTCGCCACGTATCCAGATCTTAAATTGCCATTATCAATTTGTGACGATGGAATGGTGATTTTGGTGAAGAAAGGTAAGGTTGTTTGGAGCAATGTATCTTACATATTGGTTACATTAAGTATTATCATGACGAGTAGATGATATTTATCAAGGTTGACATTATATGAGAGGAAGATATTCTGGGAGATTTATTTCGTGGAGAAATTTCATGGAGATGACAGATGTATCACAAATGAAACAACATGTTGTGCATTTTGAAAATTTAAATACTTTTATAATTGAAAGTAATATTTTTTAAGTAATAATAAAATAATTTTTAAGGTAAATTATTAAAATATTAAAGAATCAATGCTTATTGTTAATTATTCTATACGTGTCAGAGTAGATCTTTGTTAATGTAATTTTAATTATGAAACATGACATGACGAACATGTTATCTTGAAGGAACGAGGAAAAATCTTGGAAATTTTTAATTGCTTAGATTTTTCTTAATTTCCCCTTTGTATATTTTTTTACTCTCGTTATCGCTTCCAGGCTTTTTTTGTTAGCTACTTCCTTAATTGGAAAATCTTCGCGGAAATAGCGAATTTGCTACTGTTCTCGAAAAACTTAAGAACAAGATCTAATTATGCATTACCTTTTTAGAGACTTGTTCTTGAGCAATTTGCCATTTAAACTGCTAAATTCTTTTAGTTGGGATTTAAGGTTTAACTTGTGTAATCGCAAAACCTATGCTACTTTTTTAAATTAAACATTAATTGCAATTGGAACAAATTTTCTATTTTTTCATTACGCGAAAATAATAGCAAACAAAATTTATATTATTCAAATTTTTTTCAATCATCTTATTTTAAATAAAAAAAATTCCTTTTTTTCTTTTCCACATTATATATAGTTCCAATGTTAAACGTTTTAGCTTGAAAGGTTTCAGCGTCGAAATATTTAATTTCAGCTTCGAAATTTGTTTATAAATTTTTATATGGTTCACAATTAAATTTCTCAATTCGTTACGTTCAAAACAAAAATCGAATGAATGGAAAGCAGAAATATTTAAAATGATTAATTTGAAATATAAAAATAAATACAAAAAATAAAAAAAAATTAATACAATAATTTTCAAATTTTAATAACTTATAGAAAATATCAACGTCTCATGATCTTTTTCTCTAAAATTTCTTTCTCTAAAATTTCCAAGTTTATTCAATTTTTTCTTTTCAATTTTTCCCAAAAATCGCAACTTCACGTATTTTAATTTCGTCAAAAGCTTGATCCAATTTTGCTAATTTTCTCCGAACAATTTACACGCTCGTTTTACTGCAAAATTGCGAGAACCACTTTTCTCTTTCCGAAAAATTAAAGTAGAGAAGAAAGGAAAATAATTTCAAGCATGAAAATATCATTTCCACTTGGCTGACGTGTAACGACATCATTCGAACACCTACACCCTCCATTCCTCGAGAAGCAACCGGACACAACCTTCTAGCATCACGGTTGGCATCACCAAAAAAAGGTGATTAATACCAATCTTTTTCTCACTCTTTCCTCGTTTTAAATTTCACCGCCTGTTCTAACCTAACGTCCCTAATCGGCCTGAATATTTCTATGACTCGATCATCTTTCCGTGAATATCCCTAATGACCCAATCTCTAATAATTCACTGCCATAGAAATATCCCTAGATTAGATGCATGAGCCAGTGAGATGCAACCCGAGCTACACGATTTCTCTCGCCACGCGTTTTGCCAGTTATCACACGAAAGCTTCTTATTAACCCTACGAATATCCTTTCCTCCTCCCCCCTGGAGGAAACACGGCTAAACGGTTCCATTTTTTTTTTTTCCTTTTTACGTTATTAATTGACACAAAACTACCGCGTAGGCTATAGTATCGTTACTATACGTGTTAGATATACCTTTGACGTGTTTAATGTGTCTGTCGTGTGTGCATATCTG